CTCTCTCTCTCTCTCTCATACATTCACTGGTTCACTGGGCTGGAGACTGTACCCAGGGTCTCCCACAGGCTAGGCAAGTATATTACCAGAGAGCTGCATCCCTGGTCCCATGTATTTTATAAAAAGAATGATTGGAGACACTGTCAAGTCTACAGTGGTAAAGCATTTCCTCAGAATTCATTGAGGCATCGAGGAGCTGGTAGGAAAGAAGATATTGTTCAGGAGGACATGTTAAATAACAGCAAATAGCCGGGAAGATAGTTCAGTGGTCTAAGTGCCTGCCTGGCAAGTACAAGGACTGGGGTTTGATCCCCAGTACTGTATGCTATGCCAGCCCTGCATCAAGCAGGCCACCAAAACCGGGCATGGTGGCGCACACCTACAATCCTAGTGCTGGGGAAACTGAGACAGGAAGATCACTATGAGGCTGAAGTGCATAGTGGGACCCTGTATCAAATAAATAAATAAGGGGCTGGAGAGATGGCTCAGTGGTCTAAAGCACCTATTTGGAACAAGCTTGGAAAAGCATAGGGACCGCGGTTCAATCCCCCAGCACCACATGCCAGCCAGCCGCGCCCCCTGGTGGGCTGAGCTGGCCACACACACACACACACACACACACACACACACACAATAAATAAATGTTAAATAAATAAATAAATAAATAAGTAAGAGCAAGCAGCAGGCACAGCCAGTTTTTCCATAAGTTGAATGTGAACAGGGTGAGGAACAATCCTTAAGGGATAGTCTCTACCAGTTGCCTTCAGATATACCTTATAATGATCTTCAGGGAAGGAACAGTGCCTTATCCCAAGTTGTACCTTTACAGAAGCACATACCACTACTAATTGGCCCAAGTCAAGGATGCGAATGGGGCATTTGAGGTGGGGACTCTTAGAAGCAAGGGCACAACAAGTAACCAACCACTCGTTGGCCAGTGGGTTTTTCCCTGGTCTTCCTCGGCCTTTGTGGCTGGATGATCAAATTTCAACTGGATTTAGGAGAAAAGGATAGGCTGCTTGGTTAAATGCATGTGGCTCAACCCAACTCATAGATGTGTCCTTGGAAGCTAGGGCTCCAAGCTCCACTCAACAGACGTTTTTGCTGGCCACAATCTTCTTTTCAGGAGAGGTGAGCTGCCGAGGGAGTTTAAGTATTCTTGAGTCTGCTGGCTAATGATATTACCTTTTAAAACAGTTATTTCATTTAATTCTGACCACAACCTTATGCAGCAGCACTATTTTTTCCCTTTAGGTGATGAAGAAACTAAAGCAGACAGGTTAAGTAGCATATATGAGGCCACAGCTAATAAAGAGGCAGTATATGCGTTTGATCCCCTATATCTGACCCTAGAGCTCCAGCTCTTTTCTACCAGGCCATGAAACAGCATAGACCTTGACAAAGAAGCAGAAGTGCTAAACTGTTTGGGATGAGAGAGTCCTAAATTAGGAAGTGAACCATGTGGGAGAAGTCCTTAAAGTGATGAGGGGAACAGCATCTGAGAATACAAGGGAAAGGTCAACCTTGGATAGCATAAAAGAACCACTGGACAGGAGTCTTGGTTAGAATAAAAGGTGGGGGTAAGTGGAGGGGCATGGAGGTGTTGCTGGGGGCGGCCCTGTGTTCCCCA